CGAGGAAGGAAGGGAGAGAAGGAAATAGGGGAAGGAGGTCAGGCTGAGTTGGAGATAGGGCGTAATGGGAGGGAGGAGTTTGGAGGGAGGAGGTCAGGCGGAGATTGGGCGAAGGAAAATGGGGTAGATGTTCGGGCGGAGGGAGGCCGGGAGGATGTTGAATAGGAGGTCGGGCGGAGGTGGGAGGACGGGGACAGAAGGCAGGGAGAAGTCGGGTGGAGGAAGGGCAGAGGGAACGGGGAGCGAGGGCAGAGGTTGGGTGGAGCATGGAGCGTGGGAAGACGCGGAGGGGGAGAAAGAGAAAGAGGAGGAAGAGGAGATAGGGAGGCGGAAGGGAGAAATCGAGCGGTGGGAGTGTGGAGGGAACGAGGAAGGAGGGCAGAGTCGGGGTGGAAAGAGCATGTGGAGGAAGATGAGGTAGGGAGGAGGCCGAGAGGAAGGTGAAAGGCAGAAGGGAGAAGTCAAGTGGAGGGAGGGTGGAGGGAAGGAGGAAGGAGGGGCCGAGAGGAAGGGAAAGGCGCAGGGGAGAAGTCGAGCGGAGGGAAGGTGGAGGGGAGGAGGAAGGAGGGCAGAGGTGGGGTAGAAACAGCATGTGGAGGAAGAGGAGGTAGGCAGGAGGCCGAGAGGAAGGCGAAAGGCAGAAGGGAAAAGTTGAGCGGAGGGAGGGTGGAGGGAAGGAGGAAGGAGGGCAGAGGTGGGGTGGGGTACGGATGGAGGGAAGTGGGGGTGGAGAGAGAGAGAGAGAGAGAGAGAGAGAGAGAGAGAGAGAGAGAGAGAGAGAGAGAGAGAGAGAGAGAGAGAGAGAGAGAGCCACACTGTCAATTATATCATTCTGACACGCCCTGATTGGTTTGTCTTTGTCTTTTGCCTTCCAGGAAATGCTCCAAGATGCACGTCCAACATTACGGCTCACATGACAATGCTACTTCCGACAACTCCCCCCACGAACAGCAGCCAAGCAGATTGAATGATGATTACTTTAGTCATATATGACAAGACCTGCTTAACATCATGGCACTCCTATTATTGTTACATACTTCAATGAGTATGGGCAGAACCAAAGATCAACCAATGTAGGATGAACATATATGCAGCGGAAGTCTGATAAACGGACTGACTCACATAGACTGACTCACATAGAATCACTCCACACACATACAATCGTGAGATGGTGGGGTCTGGGCCAAGCATGGACGATGCCCAGATCCCGTACACACATACACAGATGAAAGGTGGGAGGAGAGACGGAGGTGGGGGAGGTAGACAGCACCAGTAGGTCACCGAGATAGAATCCGATAGGTCACCGATATGGTAGTCCAAAATGTCATCCAACAAGATCAAAATGTCGAGGACAATCAGTCACCAATGTCGGAGATACAGAGTCCAAATGTAACCGGTGTCCGAACTGTGATGCCGCCAAGTATCAACCCCAACAATCTCCAAGTCTCCAATCTGGTAAGTACCACAGTCTCATACCACCGAAGTCCAACACTGATCTCTGTCCAACTAGTATGTGTCTCCAATCTGAAGAAGAAGAAGAAGAAGAAGAAGAAGAAGAAGAAGAAGGAGAAGAAGAAAGTAGTCGAGGAGGAGAGAGAGAGAGAGAGGGAACTGGCGAGGGGAGGGAGGAGAGAGGCCTCCAACTCCCGATACCTCAGGCGGCGATSGCCGCCGGTACACCCAGTCGCCGCTGCTGCTCCTCGCTGCTCCTGCGCTAAACTTAGCACCAGCGCTGTATCGCGCTGTACCATACCGTACCGGTAGAATGCCGGTAGGTCGATAGCCTCACTGAGGCTGGACCGGTACTTTTGTACCGGTGGGCAGAGGTCGGCCTCTATGCTGCGAGGCCTGACCGTGCCCTGAACCGTCCAGATGGACGGTTCAGCCCCAACCGGCGGGCGGCAGCTTCAAGAGCGCCGCCAGGCCCAAACGGTAATATCGTTTGGGCCGGCCCGTCGGGTCTGGTCCAAGGTAAGGCCTTTACGGCCTGTAGTACTCCCCAAGGTCGGGCCTTTGGCCCTACTGTGTCCCTCTACCCCTACGTCGGGTCCGGTAGGACCCGTGTGGCGTCGAAGATGCAACATTATTGAATGCGTCTTCCGAGAACTCCTGGGCCAGTCATCAATCGCACCATCTGGGTCCACCAACTTGAGACTGACACACACACATGGACCAAGCTGTGAGACTGACACACACATGCACTTGCGCACACAGACAGAGTCAAAACTCAACAAGTAAGCACATGGCATACATACAAGATCTCGGTTGATCACAAACATATTCACAAAGGACAGCAGGCAAACTCAGATTTGGAATCTTGAGCAAGGAGATCAACGGGACAGCTGGACATCCTTTTCTCGGAAAAGCTCAGAGATCTCAGTCTCAAACTTTGTGCGCCGTTTCACACAGCACAAAACAAAAAACAGTGCTGGAAGGAAACGGCTTTCCAAACAAAACACTTGCAGTAAAAACAAAGAAAAAGGTTTCGTGGTATTCCCTCCTGTTTTCTTGGAAGTTTTTTTTTCCCTTTTTTTTTGCAGGCGAAGCTGCAACAGGTACCCTTGTGGTGGTGATAATTGTCGATGCAGCTAGAGAGGCAGTGGAGTGAGTGCAGTCAAGGGGTGCAGCACACCACCCATAGTGTCCAAGATGAACTCCTTGCAGCGCATGGCAAGGTGCCTGCCACAGATCACGCGACACTTAAACAGACGAGGGGTTAGTTTCTGTTTGCCTGCGCACTCAACATGGCCATTGCTTTCTCTCTCCTTCTTGGTCACACCATTTGCGGTGGAGGCTGGCTCTAAAATCCCCTTATGCACACTACATCTCTCTGCGTGTGTGTGTGTGGTCATATTTTCTATGCACAAGTCTACAAAGAAAAGCATGACTGTGCCAGACTGTTTTGTCGGACTTTCATCGACGCATCAGGAGGTTGAACCCCGACAGTCTGCCCAGGATGCATTTGACTGATGGTTAAGGACTCACCACGTCACCCCAGAGTTAGCGATGTCCCTGAGAAAAGTGGTCAACCTTACGCACACCAACCCTGTGTGTGTGTCTAAGAGTGTATGTGTAAGTCTGGAAGCGTGTGTGTGCCTGTCAGTGGGGACCGGAGAGGAAGCTAGTAATAGGAAAGCTGTCAGAGGACACATAGTACCTGCCTAACCGGAAAGGGAGCTAGAAATAGGAAAGCACTGACAATCTCATCAAGAACAAGGGTTCTATACATCTGTACAAGGCAGATTTCATTCTATGAAATCCATGGAGACAACTTTGTCTAGTGGATGTGTCCGATGGTTGTTGCTTTCTTGGTTCACGAGGAGCTGCCTTGGTAACAGCCATTTGTGTTTCAATTTCTTCAGGGCTGTGTTTCATACATTTTTATGAGGTGGCATTGGGAGCCAGTCCTTGTATCTTTTAAAACTGGAAGGATACCCAAACAAAAGAGTAGCACCTGCACATTTGATGATGGACACCTGCAAATCCTTTTTTTTTCGGGAATGAACCCAGTTGTTATTATTGTTACGATCCTGGCTAACTGGAAAGTGCAAATACACAAGGAAAGACAATACCGTCCAATTGCAAAAGAAATGAAAGAACTTGGAAAGGGAAAGAGACAAAGGAAAGAGAGAAAGAAGAAGAAGAGGATGTACACCAGCGAAAGACCAATGACAAATCCCCCTTCTCTCGCCACTCACTCCATCCTCCTTATCTCCCCCAATCTCATTCTTCAACCAATAATAATAATAACAATAAGTGGCTGAACTAGAACCCATATGCAGATGTGTCCTCTGCCACTCAGGCAGCCATGCCTGACTCTGCCCTGAGGCCTTCTCGATGCAGCGCAAACTCGACTGGGACCTTCGTGGTGCAGCGCCTACGAAGGAGATGAAGATGACGTCCACCATAGCCAGGTAAGTACCTCCTCCACTCTCCTCCTCAACTCCTGCTTTCTCTCCTCCTACCTGGTCCTGTCCACCATAGCCGAGGTGGAAGGCCAGGCGCTCCTCCCAGTGCTCTACACCAGTGCTCCTCTGTGTAGCGCTCCAACAGTGTGTCACCCAAACTTGTACAATGCCAATGAGGAGGATCAGGCCGCTCTTCCTGCAGATATACCGGCCAACTTGCCTCTTGGGCGGCAACTTCCGGTCTCGCGGCCTCCCAAGCAACCGGTACCATCCTCCTTTCTCAGGGAAACATCATTGCAGGTCTGATATCGTCCACTACAGGCCCTAGGCTTGGACTACTTGGACCGGTACCCTAGACCCAGGCCTGCCGGACTCCTAGAATTCACACCTCTAAAGGTACAAACTTTTTTGTGTTCTTCTGCTCGGCCTACCGCTACTCAAGTGCTACCCTTAGCTATGTGGGCCTACACTACCGCTACTTGAGTGCTAACCTACGGTACTTGAGTGTTTCCCCGCTGCAACCCTCCCCGAGGGCCTACCAAGCAAACAAGCACCCTGGCGGTTCACACTCAGGCAGATATGCACTCAGACAGGCACACGGAAACCAGCAAGCAAACAAACACAAGGAAATCTCAGCAGAAAGAGGGAATCTCAGCGAGGCACACATTCCAGCGGCAAAACGCAGAAATCAGCAGGGTTCTCAGTCTGTGTTTGTGCAGGTCATTACATTATGTTGAAGACTAAGTTTCACTATAAATCCCATGCATGGCTTGCAGGTTTTGGAGAGACTGCGGATGATTCAAAGCTCACATTGCACATTTGTTCAGCCGGGTACCTCTCTACCTGTAAAGAAAGGGACATCCTTTGCGAAGGGTACACGTTTGGGAAAAACTAGTAGTGGTGGGTCATTCAACCATGACTCTGGTTCAACTGTGGTAACACCTATGGGACCACCATCTGGACCAGGTTTGGTACAAAATGGGGGGTTCTCGCAGCGGCAGCAGCCTGCGGGCTCATCTGTTTCTGGCATGGCAAGCCAGGGGATGATGACAGGTCAGATGGGAGCTGCCACAAGGCATGACGCAGGTGGTGGTGTTGATGGTGGGGGAGGGAAGACTTTCACCTCCTTTGGGGGAGGCGATGGTGGTTGTCCCAGGCCGAGCAATGGTGGTGGTACAAGTTCTGCACCTGGATCAGGCACTGGGTTTTCAGTCCCATTCCAGTCCTCATTCATTGGGCGTGCGCCAGGTGGTGTTGGAGGGGGTGTGCGAGTTGTGGCTGACGCATCTCAAAGCAGTGGAGATTACCGTGGTGCAGGACCCGGCAGCAATGACCTTAGGACGGGAGGTCCGTGTGAGGCAGGTGGCACCCAGTCAGATGGGATGCACAGACACTCTGGGAGTATGAGTTGGGGTGTGCAGGGGGGAATTGGAGGAGGGAGCAGGGAAACCAATGCTAGTGGGAATGACGTGGATTTGATGGACGACGACGACGATGCATTATTGGAGGTAATTATGCCTCCCCCGAGCATATTTACTCTCCCCTGTCTATTCTGTCTCTTTTTTTCCATTGTTCTGGTTCCTGTTTATTTACTGGCATGCAGGGTTGCACCCCCCGACGGTTGGCGGCCCTTGACTGGTCGGCTGCCGACCCCCCGACCAATCGGCTGGTCGGCACCTACCGGTCGGGGGTCGCTGACACCCCGCAAAAAAAGAAAAGAAAAAAAGACACCCTAATAACACCACCAACACCCCCCATAGCCGCCCCCAATACCCCCATACACCCCCCCAACACCCCCAAACCGCCCCCAACACCCTCATTACCCCCCTCAATACCCTCTATATCACCCCTATGCCCCCCCTATGCCCCCCCCCAATTTTCTCAGCGGATTTGGGCTGTACTCAGCAAGCGCAGTACGGGCCTCAACTCAGATTCGAAAATTTATTTTCTGACTGGTCGGCAGACCGCCGACAGGTCGGCCCTACTGGTCGGCTGCAATACGATCGGCGGTCATGGTCGGCGGTCGGCAGGGATGCAACCCTGCTGGCATTGATCATATGCGAGGTCCGGAACTTGATTATTCTTTTAATCATGCAGTTTAGACCGTTCTGTAATTGGTGCATGTCATCCTTACCCAGGGGCCATGCTAATCTTCTTTGCATTATTCAAATTTTAGCGGATGTCCCAAAAGACAACTGGCTATGGTCTTTAGCTTGTGATGTTCAGTTTTTCATTACTCTTGGGTCTTGGGTCCTGATCAAAGTCTGGATGGTGTGGCATTTTGTGTAGTTCTGGTATGCTGTGGCATTTTGTGTAGTTTTGGTATGTGATGGTGGTATTGGTGTAATCATTTCATGTTTGGGAGGGATGCATAGTAGAACTGGCATGGCTGGTTGGACAGTACCCTTTATATGCAGGCAAATGTGGGCTTGTTCAGATTCCGCTGATCCAGTATATCTCACGTCTTTATGTACATACTACATAGTACATACACATGTAGATGCTCAGTAAAATATTTCCGGCAGCTAATTGGTGGGAAAGAGAAGTATGGGATGTATTTGGTGTGTCCTTATTTACATTGGATAGTAACAGACTATGGCTCTGAGGGTCATCAGTTACAACAAGACTTTACCTTTTAACCACCTGTAAGTTCGAAGTTTCCCATCTATTTTGTTTCGACGTGGCCGTGAACGCCCCACAGCTTTGAGGCTCGGCCTACCAAAACGAGAAGGCTGGTGTTGCCTGCCAAAAAAAATTGGTTTTGCGCCTGCATTGGTTTGACAAAGCTTGGTGCACAGCAGAAATTGGCATTGGGAAAAAGAGATTTGGAAGTATTGGTGGTTTTGGTGGATATGTGGAAATATGGTACAGTGATTCACAGAAGCATGTGGTTTCTGAGCATTTTGAAATGGTTTGAGAGTTTAGTGATTTTGATTTTTTGAGTCCTTGGGTTGCTGGAAATGGAAAGAATTAACGAACAAAATGTTGTCGCAGAGGAGAAGAGAGCGTAGACTTGATGAACAAATTTGCTGGAACGGTATTAGAACGAACAATCTACGTTATTAGAACAAAGAATTACAAATGATTACACAAAATTACAAGTGGATGAAACCACTCGACTGGTTTCGGTAGGAGTGGGAATTGCACGTGTTTATCGATTGCACACAAACTCTAGTAGCAGTGGGCGTCCCCTTCTAAACAGGCAACATTGATCTCTTGGCAAAGAAACTCAGGCGACTCGGTGAACTTGACGAGTAAGTTGAGTCGGACAGGAAGCGTCATTCACGGATTTGCAGTCCAAAACAAGTCGATGAAGCTGTCCGACTGGTTTCGGCAGGAGTAGGAATTGCATTCGCTTATCGATTGCGCGCAAATTGTAGCAGCAGCTGGGGTACCCTTCTAAACAGGCAACATCGATCTCTTCACAAGAAACTCTGGGAACTTGGTGAACTTGACAAGTAGGCTACCGTCTTCAGCCGAAAATAACACCCGGGCGTTCTTTTCAACTTACCCTAAAACGATCAGATTTTCGTTTTTAGTCTCTCTTTCTCAAATAGAACGCCCCTTTGAATATATCGCCCGGCCGTTATATTTGAATGTTTGATGGGCAGAGTGCCTTATAGAGGTAGTATCATACTTGCGGCGCATCAGTGCGGTGCACGATGCGGTGCGCTGCGCGGTGCGTGGTGCGCACCTGTGCCGTGCGCGCACTGATGCGCAGTGCGCAGTGCGCTGCGCGGCACTCCGGTGCGCAGTGCGCCGGTGCGCTGGGGCGTGCGCGTGACGAGCGCACTTTCGCGCATGGTGCGCCGTGCAATACATGGATTTTCTTTTTTTTTCTACGTGATACACCTAGTTGACGAGTTTTGTCGAACGTAACATAGGGGTAAGCTGAGAGAGAGAGAGAGAGAGAGAGAGAGAGAGAGAG